GGTTAAGATCTTACATTTCTGAATACCTATTCAATTTCATACCGTTTAACTTACATCACAGGCACAAGCTATTCAAGTCTTTTTGCAATTCAAGACAATCTTCAGTATTCCTTATAGTCTCAAATAACTTCAAGTCATCAGCAAAAAGAAGTTTAATACTGAATTTAATTTTAGAACTAAGATCATTTGTAAAAATGTCAAAAAGTATTGGTGCCAAATGTGATCCTTGGGGCACTCCAGATAACACATTAATTTTAGATGATATCACATTCTTTATTTTAACTGCCAGCGTACACGGTCTGATAAATAACTCTTAAACCAAGCCAGAATTGAACCATGGAAACCTACACACTAATAATATTGAGATAAACAAATCGTTCCATCTTCACTTGGGGAAATGCAGAAAACACTAATTTCAGAGTGTTTCGAAAATGTGATGAAAAACCTTTTGAGAATGATCATTATTCGAGTGGCAAAAATTGCCAAAACTACTTAGTGCAAAACAATTATCATTTTTTTATGTAGTTACCCACTTTATACTTAATTATGCATCAGATAATATGTACTGGTAATATTACTATGTAGATTTATACAGTGGCGTAGTGACGATGCTCCGGGCCCGTGTTCAAAAATTTTACCGGGCCCCTAATCCTGCGTGATAAAAAAATTGAAAAATCAAGGGAATATATTTATTTTTATTTTATATACAGGGTGAACCTAAAAACATATAATAATAATAATAATAATAATAATATTTATTATCTCCAGAAAAATTACATTCCAAACAGTTAACTAAGATAAATGTGGGAAATAATAGGCCATATTTGCAGCATCCCACGCAAGCATGAGTGCTGTTGAGGCCCCAAAAAATTGCTTAAAATAAAATATAAAGAAAGGCTTATCTAAGATCTATGAATATGAAAATCAAGTAACGCACTTGATACTTAAACTGTAAGACGAAGAAAGAAAAGAAGGAGGTGGAAAAATAGAGAAAAGAAGGAAAGAAAAGAAAAAGAAAAAGAGGGCACATGGTAGAGAATAATATATATATGTACTAGAGCGGAGAATAATATTAAAGCAGATAGGAATTTCATAATGTACCCAATTATTTAAGTGCAGGAAATTAAGGGCGATTTATCTAGAGCAGGAAATATAATATATTATATTTTAAATTAGTTTTAGTTTCATTCTTTTTTTAAAAACACCAACAGATGTAGAAAAATCAATTATTTCATATTTGTTAATGAGTGAGGCAATGGTATAGCTGAATGACTTTTTGAAGAATTCTTTATTGTGAGACGGTATTGTCAAAAGCTGTTTCCTGCGAATGTTTAAATTATGAATGTCAGTTCGATATTTGATTTTATTGTGTAGGTATGGTGGAGTTTTAAATTTTAATAATTTATAAAAGAAGCATAGTGAGTGCAGACTACGCCTGTTAAACATACTTAACCAGCCCAATTCATTCAGTTTGTGTGAAACTCGGTCTCTTCGTCTTATTCCACACGCAAACCTAATGCAAGAGTTCTGAACCTTTTGGACTCTCCTAACATCTATCGAATCCAAAAAAGGCCCATATAGGTGATCGCAAAAATTAAAATGCGAGAGAATTAAAGAGTCGCAAAGCAAAGTTTTAGTTCTTTGACAAAGATAGTGTCTATGAGAGTATAAACCCCTCAAAACTGAATATGCTCTTTTTAAGCAAAGTGTTATGTGTTCTTTAAATTTGAGTTTGCTATCCATGACAAGTCCCAAGTTTTTAGCCGAATTTTTAAATGATATCATGTCTTGTCCTAGATTTAGTTCAATATTGCCTAAAAGATCATTTCTAATATTTTCATTACAAAACAGGAGAGCTACCGATTTGTTAGGATTTATTTTAAGCAAATGTTTATTTGATTCATCAAGCAATGATTTCAGATCTTCATTGATCAGCTTATTGGCTGCAGCTACTTCTGAAGGTTTGAAAGATAAATAGATTTGCGTATCGTCTGCGTATAAGTGGTATTGACAAAATTTTAATGATTTTATAAAGTTAGAGGTGAATATACTATACAGAAGAGGACCCAAAATACTACCCTGAGGCACTCCCGCAAAGATATTAAGAGATTCCGAATATTGTCCGTCAAGAGTAACTCTTTGAGATCTCTTTGAAAGGAATGAGGACACAAGTAGAGACGCCGACTTACTAAAGCCTACGTATTTTAAAATCGACAGAAGAATTTCATGGTGAAGCATATCAAATGCTTTTGTATAGTCTAATAAAATGAGCACACTAGCATTGCTGTTGTCCTGCGCCCGCACTATATCATCAGTTAAATCAGACAAAGCTGTTGAGCAGCTATAGCCCGCTCTAAAGCCGGATTGTTTGCTGGGTATTATGTTATTGTTGTTGAGGAATGTATTATATTCAATATAAAATAAGTGAAGGCGTTTTGGATTTTGTTTTTTTGCTTGAGATTTTTTCTCACCAATTTTCTTATACAGGTTTTTCCAAGAACAGCTGTACCGTTATCAACTTTATATTTTTAAATCGTACCTTCTATATATCATGACTTCATGACATTTTTGGATTCTGCGGAAAATTCTAGACATATTTCACACATATTTCAAGTGAAATGTCATGGCAGAAATAGCCTAAGGGCCGGTTTCTCAATAGCAAGTCACCCCTGGGTTAAGCCTAACTCCAGGGTAAACATTGCAACTTCACACACTTATCCTGGAGTTGAAACTAACCCAGAGGTGAGAAACCGGCCCTTATATAATGTTAAAGCTTAACTCACCTAATTGGAGGGCAGCACAACAAATCACAACGCAGGGATTGCAGGATCTTGAGTTCGCATACCTGGCAATCCTGGCATGTGGTTCAGCCGAATTTTGAAAATATATGATACCGGAGAAGCGGTAAAGTCGAAAAGTTTTCATAAAAGAATAAAAGAAATCATTATAAGTCTACATAAGAATGTAAGAAATGAAGACTTTACCTATGTAGATATAGATATATTATTTTTTATGTCATACCAGTACATTGTTGTCTTTTTATACCTTAGATACAATCTACATAATTCATCACTTTATGCCCGTGCGGGCATAAAGTACACATTCTGGCCCGCGCGGGATTCTAACCATCAGGTTGACAATTACGCCGCAAATGACATCGTTTGCGTGTACGCAAAGTTGCATCGATTTCAAATAAAGTCCCCCTGGTATGATATAAAAGTTTGTATGCACCACGGGTACTAATAGATAAATACCCTCGGGCGACTTACGAACCCTCGGGCCAGAGGCCCTCGGCTTTGTAAGGCTGTCGCCCAGGGCAGGTAATCATCTACTTAGTACCCTTGATACATAAATAACTATTATTTTTATATAAATTAGCGTCAAATCTGTAAAATGTTTTTTTTTTTTTACTTTAGGAAAAAAATTCTATTGACATCTAGAAACGGGCCCCTTGAGGTATCGGGCCCGTGTTCCGCGGAACACACGGAACACCGGTGACTACGCCCATGTTTATAACTTTCCAACCGATAAGTGACCAAATATACGTCCCATTCAACGACGTCAAATAGACGCTTCGTAGACGTCTTAATACAGGGTATTTTTTCTGAATAGGTCATATTGGGTTTTACATGGTAACTTTTGAACCTGTTGGTTCATTTCATGGTCAAATAAACGTCCATTACGTGATTTCCCAAACAAATCATATTTTGCAACCTCTTTCCGACGACGAATTTTGGTATATCGACGTAAATCTATTGTTGGAATAGGAAAAAAGACCTGCTGGATAACATCCTCCAGCATTTTTAATGTTTGAATGGATTTGGGTCAGACCACTTTTTCGCAGATCTGTTTTTGTATTAAAATTGTATTCGCTAACATCCAATGTTCTTTATCTTAGGCCTGGTTTATTCATCTTGAGATAAACTTGCTGGCAACTATCTGCAAGATAAATTTACAGATCTATATTCCTGTTGGTCACTGGATAATTGGTTGACCAATGGGATTACATATTGCGTTTTTATCCGTCAGATTGCATTACCTGATAGCTTGCCTGACAGTTTATAAGAAAGTGAATTAACTGGCTCTTATATGTATTAAGAGGCTCTTGAAGAGCCGGCAATAGACAAAAATTCAGTAAAGTAGAGTACTACTACTCAAAGATAGTCAAAATAACTAGTTTTCAAAATGTGCTTACTTTTAAACACCGATATCTAGAAAACTAATCGTGAAATTTAAGATTTTGCTATAAGATTGTAAAGGGAAAGCGACGAGCTATCCAACGATGTACGACTCAAGCTAGGTTCTTATTAAAAAAAAATATGTTAGGATAGCTACCCCCTAAGGGGGGAGGACTCAAAAAATGTTTAATTTTGGTTTCCCCTCCAATCCCCCGATACGTATTTGAGATCTTCCTGGCAGTAGGTATTTTTTGTGTAAGATATTCGCGATTGCTACTTTTCAAATTGTCACCCTGTAAGTATGTCCGATGTGGCCCGAATAGAAACATCACTGTCGGACAGTTATGCCCTACTCGGCATGCAATGTATATTAAATACCTAGGTAAATTTTGAATTGCACAATCCGAGGAAAATGCTATTGTTTTGTTCGAGGTCTTGTTTTTTTAGTAACACAATATTAATGTCTTGATGATGGTGATACTGTAGGTACAGATACACTAATAATCTTTATTTCATAATATAAAAGCTTTTATCAAGTCCCTGTTAAAAATTGTAGGTAGCGATTGCAAAATTAACTCAAGGGATTATTCTGGATCACTTTATTTAGTCCCTGATAAAAGATGGTATTAGTACCCCAAGGAGTGGTTGTGTATGAGCCTCACTAGTTGAATACAAATCATAATTTGCTATCTGTATGCAAATTATGATTTACTGTGCATATTAAGGGGGTGTTAATAAAGGTATTATGATTGTTATAGTTGCTAAGGTTAAAAAATTGTACTCTTGGTGTATTATGAGATTCTAAATAAATTGAAATTTCAGTTTAGCAATCTACTGGGCACTGTTTATAGGAAAGGGGATCTCCTTTTTACACCCGATGGAAATTCCGTTCTAAGTACAGTTGGAAACCGAATAAGCGTCTTTGATCTCAGAAAGTAAGTCTAAATAACATACCTAATAAACAACCGCAGAAAAATATATTTTACAAACTTGTAGCAACAAATCAAGCACTTTGCCCATCGAAAGCAGATTTAATTATGAAACTCTAGATTTAAGCCCAAACGGATGCACTTTAATTGCTATAAATGAAGAAGGTGAAGCTCACATGATTAGTTTGATATCTCAAACTGTTGTCCACAGATATAGATTTAAAGGCAAATGTAGGGCTGTTAGATTTAGTCCTGATGGAAAGCATTTCGCTGTTTGCAAGGATAATAATGGCAAGTAATTCATTATAAATTTAGTTATTTTGTTAAGTTATACATATATTTTTTAGTATTTGTATTCAAAGCCCCAGGACCATTTTCCGGAGAATACAATGTATTTGTTATGGAAAGAGTTTTCCATGGTGCCTATGATGAGACCACTTGCTTGGATTGGTCATCTGATTCTAAAATTCTTGCTGTTGGATCAAAAGACATGGCAACTAAATTATATCCTATAGAAAAGTAGATTTTAATTAAACTATAATTGATGTATAATAATTTTGTGACATTTAAGGTACAAGAATTTTAGGATCTATTCCTTAGGAAATCATACTGATGGGATAGTTGGTTGCTTTTTTGAAAAGGATAGTTATGATATGATTACAGTATCTAGGAATGGCCAAACTTGTGTATGGGAATGTACTATTGATCCTAGCGATTTAGAAGTCTTGGAGGATAGTACTCCTGTTGTTAAGAAAAAAGTAAGCAGATTTTGTTTTTCTTTATTCCAAACAAGCATGACGGTACAGTGTCAAACTTGGTCTATTTCAGAATTCTGCTTCTATCATCTCCATTTCATGTGGAAGTTTTATTTTTTCAGAAATCTTCAGAAGATGAAGATGAAGACGACATAGACATAACCAAGTCATTAGAAAAATCTCAAGCTGAAGCAGAAAAAGCTCTAAAAGATATTCACATAAATGAAACAGAGAATAAAGAAGCAAGCAAGTTATTTTATAAAAGAATAGCTAGGCATTATTTAGCAGATGAAGCTAGGAAGGATCAGAAAGAAGCTGTTTTGACATCTGCTGCCTACCACAAGGCCTCAAAAATATTGGTAACAGGCTTTTCTTCAGGAGCTTTTTTCATTCATGAAGCCCCTGAAATGAATCTAATTCATTCCCTAAGCATATCCGAACAAAAAATATCTTCAGTTGCTTTGAATCAAACGGGCGACTGGATTGCTTTGGGTTGTAGCGGTATCGGACAGTTGCTAGTTTGGGAATGGCAAAGTAGGAAGCAAAAATTAATAAAAAAGTAATTTGTTTAATAATTTAATTTTAAGGTGAAACTTATGTCATGAAGCAACAAGGCCACGCCAACAACATGTCTTGTGTCTCATATTCCGGCGACGGGCAACTTTTAGCCACTGGTGGACAAGATGGCAAAGTAAAACTCTGGAACGTAGGGTCTGGTTTTTGTTTTGTCACATTTAATGAACACACGAGTGCAATCAGCGCTATAGGTTTTAGTGGAAACAAGAGATTTGTGGTTTCTGCTGCTCTGGACGGAACTGTTAGAGCATATGATGTAATTAGATACAGGAATTTCAAAACATTCACTTCTCCAAGACCGGTTCAATTTTCTTGTGTAGCTGTTGATAGTAGTGGAGAGTTTGTAGCTGCTGGAGGACAAGATGTTTTTGAAATTTATCTTTGGTCGGTGAAGACTGGAAGATTGCTGGAGATTTTATCAGGACATGAAGGGCCAGTTGTAAGTACATCAATACCCTTTACATGCAACTTCAGAAATCGCAGAAAATAGTGAAATGCAGTTTTACACATATTTTGGCATTTTCTCTTGAATTTTCAAGAGTAAACCCCAAAAGGAACCACATTTAGATCAAATATCGACAGTTTTGAAGCAAAAATCAGTCTACAAAAAGATCTGTATGACTATTAGGAAAAATCGCATTTTTTACATTTCATTAAAGTGATTTATTGCAAAAAATAGGTTGATAAATTAATATATTATAGGAAAATGCAAAAAAAATCTTTTTGTGGAAAAAATGGGTTTTTAATTATAATACACAGTTAACGTTTAGGAGTGAAAATTACTTTGCAAGTCCCTAATCGCTTGTTTGAACTTATTTCTTTCTAGGTGAGCTTAGCCTTCAGTCCCAGCATTACAACCACAACATTAGCATCAGTTTCATGGGACAAAACCTTAAGAATATGGGACGCGATAGAAAAAGGCTCGGCTCATGAATCTATCGAATTAATATCGGATGGATTGTATGTTACATTTAATCCCAATGGGCAAGAAGTTGCTGTCGCCACGCTAGATGGACAAATATCAGTATTTCATATCAAAACAGCTACGCAGGTTGTGGTTATTGAAGGCAAAAATGATTTGGGTAGTGGACGGTCTGATACGGATTTGATTACTGCTAAGAAAAATTTGGAAGCCAAGTAAGTTATTTTGAAAATCAAGATGTGTTCAACTGATTCCAGTCCATGCTGTTTTTGTTCTCATTTTGTTCTCCTAGATAGATATACAGGGTGTATATTTTAAGTGATACCACTATTGCTATATCCGAAAGGGTGAAAGCTACAAGGTCGATTAAATTAGAAAAAAGTTGCCTTTTTTGATGCCCATTCAAGACTCATTTACAGTGTTGCCAAATTCCTTTTAGTTTATGAAATACAGGGTGATTTCTAAGAAACACCTAAAAATATTCTATCAAATATTTCGAAAACTATTTATTTTCGGGACATAATTTAAATTTGAAATTTTTATAATGTTTTTCGCTCTACAACATGGCATCTTCAAATTTCGAATCCGACGTTTCGTGGTTAAACTACCATCATCAACTTCATTTTTTTAAATACGCACCTGGATTTTTTATGACACTTTAAGAAAGCACTCTTTATTCCCTTTTCAACGACATACATCTTAAGTATTAATGGTCGACGTTTCTGATCTAAAAAGTGATCATCAGTGATTTTGACCAAAATTTTACCTTAATTCGGACCTAGTTATGAACCTGTATTTCAGAAACTAAAAGAAATTTGGCAACAATGTAAACGAATCTTAAATGGGCATCAAAAAAGGCAACTTTTTTCTAATTTAACCGACCTTGTAGCTTTTACCGTTTCGGATATAGCAATAGTGGTATCACTTAAAATATACACCCTGTATATAGATAGATAGATTTATTAACAAACAATCATCATTTACAAAAAAAAAAAAAAAATGCCTAGAATAAAGCAATTAAAGTAACAATGGTTGAAAAAATTTCTCTTCGTTTTTGTAGAGATGTGATGTTTAGAAGATTTTGCAACTCATCCTAATTTATTTCATCTTTTGGTATTTTAAGTAAATACGTAATAAGTCTGAGAAACTTTCTCTGAACTTTTTCCAGCTCAGTTTCATAAGCTTGATAGTGGGGAGCCCAAACAACGCAGGCATACTTCAAAACAGACCGTATTACTGAACAGTACACATTTTTAACTATATTTATATTGTTGAAATCTTTCAACCTTCGGAAAATGAAACCAAGGCGTTTGAGTGCTCTGTTCGCCATAGCATTTACATGGTGATTGAAGCTCAGCTCAGTATCAAACCATACTCCAAGGTCCTTAATAAGGGTTTCTCTTGTTAACTGACAATTATTTATTGTGTAGTTGATGATATGTATAGGTTTTTTTGATTCTAGAAAAAGTTACAATTTTGCATTTATCTGTATTCAAAGCTAATTTATTTCCATGACACCACTGAGCTCTGAGCTAGCTTGTCAAGATCTCTTTGAAAATCCCTGAGGAAAATCCGGACATTCCTGTTGACATTTTATTTTTTTGTAAAATTTGCCGTCATCAGCATAAGTGAGAGAAAGTGAAGTTTCAAGCGAGTTGGAAATCTGACTATAAAATCGAGATGTTAGTTCAAGGTTGTCACCGCTTTAATTATGCAAATAAGGCAATCGGAATATAAAATCGATATGTTTATGTTAGTTCAAGGTTGTTACCGCTTTTGCATACATTGAGTGCCGACTCATAGATAGGCAATTACTTATACATAATAGAAGTCGGGTAAGTGTTTGGAAGAAGTCCGGAGAGGTCAGGAAAGGGCTGGATAAGGTCGGGAGAAATCTAGACAAGTCTGGATAAAGTCTGGATAAGGCTGGAAAAAGTTTAGCTAAGTCTGGAAAAGTTTGGATAAGTTTGGATAAAGTCTGGAAAAGCCAGAAAATTTCTGGAAACGTCTGGAAAAGGCTCTATTAGGTCTGGAGAAATCTAGACAAGTCTGGATAAAGTCTGGAAAAATCTACCCAAGTCTGGATAAAGTCTGGAAAAGCCTGGAAATTTCTGGAAACGTCGGAAAAAGGCTGGATAAGGTCTGGAGAAATTCAGACAAGTCTGGATAAGTTCTGGAAAAGTGTATTTGAAGTCGGGAAAGTGTTTGGGAGAAGTCCGGAGAGGTCAAAGGGCTGGATAAGGTCTGGAGAAATCTAGATAAGTCTGGATAAAGTCTGGATAAAGTCTTGCTAAGTCTGGAAAAGTCTGGATAAGTTTGGATAAAGTCTGGGAAAGAGCCAGAAAATTTCTAGAAACGTCTGGAAAAGGCTCTATTAGGTCTGAAGAAATCTAGACAAGTCTGGATAAAGTCTGGAAAAATCTAGCTAAGCCTAGAAAAATCTGGATACAGTCTGGAAAAGCCTGGAAATTTCTGGAAACGTCTGGAAAAGGCTTAATAAGGTCTAGAGACATTCAGACAAGTTTGGATAAAGTCTGGAAAAGAGCCAGAAAATTTCTGGAAACGTCTGGAAAAGGCTCTATTAGGTCTGGAGAAATCTAGACAAGTCTGGATAAAGTCTGGAAAAATCTAGCCAAGTCTAGAAAAGTCTGGATAAAGTCTGGAAAAGCCTGGAAATTTCTGGTATCGTCTGGAAAAGGCTTGATAAGGTCTGGAGAAATTCAGACAAGTCTGGATAAAGTCTGGAAAAGTGTATTTGAAGTCGGGAAAGTGTTTGGGAGAAGTCCGGAGAGGTCAGAAAAGGGCTGGATAAGGTCTGGAGAAATCTAGACAAGTCTGGATAAAGTCTAGCTAAATCTGGAAAAGTCTGGATAAGTTTGGATACAGTCTGGAAAAGCCAGAAAATTTCTGGAAACGTCTGGAAAAGGCTCTATTAGGTCTGGAGAAATCTAGACAAGTCTGGATAAAGTCTGGAAAAATCCAGCCAAGTCTAGAAAAGTCTGGATAAAGTCTGGGAAAGTCTGGAAATGTCTGGAAACCTCTGGAAAAGGCTTGATAAGGTCTGGAGAAATTTTGACAAGTCTGCATAAAGTCTAGCTAAGTCTGGAAAAATCTGGATAAAGTCTGGAAATTTCTGGAAACGTCTGGAAAACGCATGGAAATTTCTGGATTGGGTCGGAAAAATTCTGGAAAATCTGGAAAGGGTTGAATTTTAGCGGATCTCAAAGCTCACAATAATCACAAGCATTAGCGTTGAAGTTTGCTTCGGCATTTTCAATGTTCTCCTCGGTTGCATCTTTGTGAAGGACTGTGAATTTGTTACTTATGTGACAATTCTCTGACAATATGCCTATTAGCTGTGCTATTAGATATTGCTCTGTAGATGGTTGTTTTTCAAAGCAAGGAAGTGGTTTAATATTTTTTCTAGGTCCAATAGAAGAATCTAGGTATGTATAGGGTTTTCCAATAGTAACGCTCGATGTTTGACAATAGCCCATGAAAAACTCGATAGTCACACAGGTGCTATCTTTGGCAGCCGTATTCAATTAGTCTCTGCATTTTATTATGGAGCGCTACACGATTGAGCAACGCGTCGGAATTGTTAAAAATTATTATCATTATCAAAACCAATGTTCTATTCGGAAAACGTTTCGTGCACTCCGTGCAATTTATGATGTCAACGATCGTCCTTCAGAATCCACAATTGGCCGACCTAACGTCACTGGATTTTTTTCTCTGGGCATTCTAAAATCCAAAGTCTATGTTGACAAATCTCGAACGGTTGCCGCCTTAAAGGCCAATATTAAGCACTTATTGCTGAAATTGAGCCATTTTTATGCGATAACGAACACTAAATGATTCTAACGACAATCTAAAATTGTCGGAGAAATGTATTGATAATTCGGATATTGTTGAAAACATCTATGAGAAGTAAAGTCCGTCGATTTTAATCTAATACTCGAAAGGAATGTGAGCTGGTGGCACCCTACATTTGAACGCCAATGGTCACCTAAGGTCACCCCTGGTTTTCGCTTCACCCCCTCGCTCCTCATACGAAAAGTCGACGAACAATACTAAAAGAAGGAAGATTCAGGGACTTGACCAAATCTGCAATACTTTCTGCAAGAAATGTTGATGTCGAAGAAATAAACGAATAAGTTGTCGAACTGTTGGACGTCAAGACCGAAAAACTCTACACCAGTATAGATAGTGTCAAGAACTGTGATAATAGTGATCTAAATGATGCTATTCTTCCAAAATATTTAAATTCGCTTAATCCGCCGAATTCCCGCTCCATGATTTACGATTGAAAACGAATTCTATTGTATGCTTATTAGAAATCTAAGCATCAGTGCAGGCCTTTGCAATGGCACAAGGCCTTTAGTTCTGGAACTTGGGGATAATCTGTTACGCTGTGAGATATTGACTGTAGATAAACAGGGAGAAATAGTGTTCATAAATCGAATAACACTCTACTGCGAAAACGTCTACCCCTTTACGTTCAAACAAAGACAATTTTAAAATAAAATTAGCCTTTGCAATGAGTTACGATTAACAAATCTCAAGGACAAACATTTGATAGGATAGTAATTGATCTCCAGAAAGGATGTATTAGTCACGGACAACTTTATGTGGCGCTTTTCAGAGTTCGTTCGTGGGACTCATTCAAACTTTATTCAGGGAAACAAAGAGGCAATAGTGTTGTCAAAAACCATGTTTTTAAAGAATTGTTTTTTTGATAATTTAATTTTGAAATTTCGCAGTCATAGGTGATTTCAGAAGATCTTTACAACTTATTTACAAGATATTTGAAGATCACAAGACAAAAACCTGAACAGGATAAACATAAATGATTGAAAATAACGAAGAACGACATGAAGACTTAGCACTCTTTAAACTTTGGATTCTTACGAGTTCCATAAAATAGAATAAGTTCCACTGGACATATGCACACCGTATATTCAAAAAATAAGATTGATTTAAAGTCATTACGATGTACCGCAAAAGTAATAATTCACCAACTACTTTGATCACATTTAAAATTTATGTCTACCACGTAGGTACAAACAAAAAATGTAAGTTGAATAATTGAGCAATTGAATTTAAAATCTTTTAAAAAATTTTTTTTTTCGATTGTTTGCAGTAAAATGTTGATCGAGTAGACTTCAATAACTGGCCTAATAAAAAAAAAGGAACTTCATGAAAATGTAAAAAAAAAATTAAGACTCGATATCTCGTATTATACCACAGCACATAAATAGTTACTAACTCGGTTTATAATAACACCTTGATTATGGTTATGATTATTCTGTTTTAAATAAACCACTTCGAATAATGTATACCTACACCTACGAGTTCCATAAAACAGAATGAGATAAGTAGACATACGCACACCGTACATTCAAGAAATGTGATCGATTTAAAATCATTATGATATACCATACAAAAATAATTAGTCACCAACTCCATCCATCGCATTTGAAATTTCTTCACTAGAATAACATCTATACAACTTATCTCACTGTTACATTTAATGTATAATGTACATTTAAATCAAAAATTATGCTGTTTTTTGTACAACACCTACCTAATAAATATTTTCCATTTTATAATTATTTTGATGGACTTGATTTAAAAAAAAAGCGCGCGAAGCGCGCTCATGACCTAGTGTTATTAAAAAAGATATTGAAGAATAATGTAGACAAATGTCCACCCTCTGTGGGACACCTGAGTTGATCTCAATCTCGGACAAAGATAATCACCAATTTTTACTGCTTGTTTTTTTCGAAAAAGATAACTTTCCGTCCACTTAAGAAAAATGGAATGGACACCAACGGCCAGAAATTTGGGAAGTAGGATTCCATGATCCACCCTATCAAAAGCTTTTGGAGAAGTCTGTGTAGACAGCATCCATTTCTTCACGACTCTCGAAGGCTTCCAACAGGTGTTTCTCATAAGTCAAGAGATTAGTGACTGTGGACCTAGCCTTTATAAATCCATGTTGATGGGGATAAATTAGATTTTTAAATAATGGTGAAATCTTATCAGCAATAATGCACTCAAACACCTGAGCAAACACCTTAGAAATGGTTGATATTTTGGATATTGCATGGTAGTTCTCCACACTAGACCGGTCTCCACTCTTGAAAATGGGGATTACATGGCGGCACTTCCAAAAATCTGGAAAAATTCCTCTTGTTAGTGATATATTGTAAATTTTACATAAGACAGGTGCTGTATTTTTTAGGAAAATGAAAGGTATCTGGCCCAGTACCAAGGTTATTTTTTAGTTTTAAGATGTACTCAAATACCTCAACCTCCAAGATATTGAAATTTCCTAAGTCAGTGTTCAACTTTTAGTTAAACTCACCTGAAATAGGACTACTTGTTGTATACACTGTCGAAAAATAGTTTTTAAATAGCTCACCAGTCTGTTCCAATTTAGTTGATGTAGTATTTTGGAGGTGCATATTTCAGAGGGGTATTTCATATTTCTTTTTTTGGCATTAACAAATTTTCAGTAATCGTGCTTAATTATCAAGGCATTTTCTGGAGATGCGCCGAATAGTGGTTTGGGTCACTGGCCGAATACCGGATATTTTGCCGATCGTCATAGCCAAATAACGAATATTCGGCCGGTCCTCAGCCTGGTTTTTTGTCCAATTATTCGGCCATTATTCGGCCAAATATTCGGTTCTAGACTAGCGATATAATTACAGTAAGACGTCTTAGAGTACTGCCTGCAATCCCTTTGTAGTTCAGAGAAGATCTCGTAAACTCTGAAAGACTGTGTTCTTTAAATTTTTTATGAGCAGATTTTTTTGCAATAATTATTTGATTTATCCAATCTGGACATTTTTTCTTTTTAGATTTACATTTTGGTACAAAAATGACAATTGACTGGAAAATAATGTTGTAGAAGATTTCTACCATTTCGTTCATATCTCCGATATTGAAAAGTTCATTCCCAGGAATATATGATAGATTCAATTCTTCATAGTTTGCTCTCTTAAAATTATAGGTACTTTCACAGTTGCTAAAATCACAGATTGAATTATTGACAGGTAATACACATATATCATGAACCAAGGGAATCCATTTTCAATAGTGGAAAGTCAGAAAAAGAGATCACAGTTTCCAGTGAGTCTAAAAAAACCAAATCAAGGCAGTTACCATATATATTCGGAAAACTGTTTATTTGATGCAAGCTGAGAAATGCCACGCACTCAGCTAAACATTTAGTTTCTTTAGTGAGTGAGCCTTCGAAAGAAAAGGCTTGTGTTCCCATGTTGTCATTTACCCACTGGACTTTGGGGAAATTATATTCACCACACAATATTACGTTGATGTTGTCCATCTCTACCGAGCTTAAAACTGACAAAATAGTGAGGTGCAATAATTTTCATATTTTTCCAATAATGAGTTAGGAGGTATGTATACGTTTCCGATTAGGGTTTTTCTTGCGTGTTGAGGTTTGACACTAGCAAAAAGAAAGGGAACTTATTGTGAACTGCAATGATAACTTCCCCTTGCGATTTGCAGTTACTAGTTTCACTATTTCTGTCCATTCGGTAGACAATATAGTTATTCAGCCCCAGTTCCAGGGTGCCCATTGAACTGTCCAGAAAGGTTTCAGTTAACAGCAGTATGTCGTAACTTTCCAGTGCAACTGCCTGAGCAAGCTCAGCGAGTTTAGTTTTGAGACCTCTTACGTTTTGGTAGTAAAGATTGAGATGAGTGGGTGAGGATATTTCTGTAACTGTAGCTTTGTTCTGTTTTTTATTGTTAAATTTGATATTCTCTTCAAGAGGAGTAGTTATTTTCTGTCTAAAAAATGTCTTCCTATCCCTAGACCAAAGTTGAAACGGCTAAAGTAGACTCCGCGTGGCCAGAAATAAAAACAATTTTTAACTATCCTGTATTTTTCCCGGTAAAATCTCAAATGATAATTTGTACCATGAATTTCATGATCACTGACCATGGGAGACTCTTGGTACTTCCCTTGCATTAAAATAAGTTGTTATTATATCATCGATCAAAGTGGCTGAAACATTGGTTATTCTGGTTTCCTTTTCTACGATTTGTTTAACACCTGCTGCCTGTATTATCCTTTTCAAGTTTTTAGCGTCATTTCCATTTTTCAATAAGTCGATATTCAAGTCACCCATGATCATCGTTTTTTGCTGATGAATGCAATCATCGTTTAACTTTCCTTCCATGTACTTCAAGAACTCCCTACGGTTATCATTAGGCGATCTGTAAATGGCACTCTCACCATCACATTTTCTGTCTACAGCCTCACTACATATTACTTCGAACTTTAGAGAACTTTTAATATCAATTGTTGCCTCTCCAGTGTCGGCTATTTGAATAGCAATTCACTAAATTATATCCAGGAATGGCTATTTCGTCATCCTCTTCAGCTGTTAAGTGGGTCTCACTCACACATACAACAGAAGGGTTTTCAACCCGAAACAATTCCTGAATATCCTCAACATGTGATAAAAGTCCCTGAGCATTCATATGTATAAACAAAACACTATGCGATGAGGAAGTCTTGGATGATAGTGATGATACTGATGATGATAATTGCTATATATTATGTGTCCTTGCTTTAACTTTTTTGACTGCTCTCATGTAGCAAATGCAGTTCTTGTTAAATACATTGTGATCATAACTACTGATATTCGGTATTTTTAACATTTCACTGGCGTGCTTGCAATTTGTACATACTTTTACATTAGATTTGCAGTCTTCACTTTTATGGTTCTGACTACAAACTGGACAAATACTGTTTGGCTGTTGACAGTACACTGCCTTATGTCCATATTTCCAACATTCCAGTCCCACATACTCGGACACAGGACTGCTATTCCAATCTATAAATACCTTTCCACTACCAATAAGACATTTAAATGCTTCAGGAGATAGTTCCACAACAATATTATGCAACTGCTTGTTTTTCGGAATGTACTTTCGATAAACTTTAACAGTTATATCATCCCTTAAGACTGGAAGACAGCTCTGATTCTTCACTTGCTTAATGAATTCTTCCTCATTGCTTGCGTATTTTTCATTCACACCAACAATGACGACCTTCGGATTAGCTTTTTTTGGAATTTCAATAGTGTAGTTTTCAGCAAGTTCCGTGACCGCCTTATCTTGAAGTTTCTGCAGTGATTTTTTATCTCCACATTCAATAACAATTCCGCCTCGGCCGACAGATTTAACTTTATTTGCTTCCATTGATAATTCTGACGGATAAATATTTTGGATGGCTGCCTGCTTTGTTATACTTACTACTATTTTGATCCATCTGTTTCGGTCTTATTATTAACGGCGGAAAAGGACTTTTTTAAACTATTTCTGATCACTTAGGCTGTTCCCTGTTAGACTCTGGTGTATGTTTCAATTTTTTGAGTATTTCAGCTGCATTCAAACGATTTTCTTCAATCTAGAGTTCTAATTTTTCCATTCTTTTCGCCGAATTTAACTTTTCATTAGCCACTGCAACACATTCGTTGCAGTACCAGAACACATTTTTACAATCGCTGCTCGCCCTATACAAGGTATCCTTTATGGAAACACACTGAGGATGATAATACTGATCGCATAGTTTGCAACTAACGGACTTCGAACTCACGATAAAGTTTTCAGAGCAGTGCGCTCGACGACATCTCACTATTTACTGGTATTGAGGTAGCGAAAGATTAACAAAAAGTACTTATAAATTTGAAGGAATATTTTAGAATTCAAATACTGTCTACATATAATAGCGCTCCTACTGTGGTTATAGTTTTGTTTTCGTAGGGATCATTTCAACATTATCTGCTATCAAACGCAAGTACATAACTACTTTGCTTTCTGGACTCTATCAATCAAATCTCCCCTAATCTCTAAACTTACACATGCATAGGAAATTTCGGATTCTTACTTGAGTTGAGTAATTATAAATGTTTCTGAAATATTATTTTCAGATCATTTACGACATTATGTTATTCAGCTGATGGTGAATATTTATTGGCTGGTGGTCAGTCGAAAAATGTATGCATTTATAATGTAAAGGAAGCTCTGTTGGTGAAAAAATTCGAAATTACACAAAATAGGTCCTTGGATGCTGTGGATGTAAGTAAATTAATATTTTGTAGTCCTTTTTGCTCAGTCCCAATATTTGTGTTAGGATTTCATCAATCGTCGAAAACTAACGGAATTTGGGAATTTGGCTTTAATAGAAGAAAGAGAAGAGCGAGAAGGTGGAGATGTGGCAATCAAATTACCAGGAGTAAGAAAAGGCGATATGTCTAGTAGAGTCATTAAGCCAGAAGTTAGAATACTGTCTTTGCAATTTTCACCTACTGGACAACAGTGGGCCGCAGCTACAACTGAAGGTTTACTAATATATTCTCTTACATCAGGCCTTGTGTTTGACCCTTGGGATTTACAAATTGGTATTACCCCTATGGCAGTAAGACAGGCTTTAAAAGAAAACGATTATCTCAATGGTAATAATGAATCCTTGACTAGGCTTTTGAAATTATTAATAATTAATTTTATAGCTTTGACAATGTCTATGAAGATCAATGAAGCCAATCTTATACAGGAAGTTATAGAAACAATCCCTGTTAGAGATGGTAAGTAATTTGAAATTAAAAAAAAAAAAAAAATTCTTTTAATTATTATTTTTTTTTAGTCCAACTAATTGTATCAAGTTTACAAGATCGATTGGTTGAAAGGCTATTGCTAATAATCGCTAGCGGATTGGACAGTTCAAGACACTTGGAGTATTATTTATATTGGACACAGCATGTACTAACTATTCATGGTCCTAAAATAACGGGTCAGAAACATATGCCCGCAATTTTAGCTTTGGAGAAGAGTCTAGTTAGACGATTTGAGCAAATATCCAAATTGTGAGAAATTAATTAGGTATGTGCTTTATTTTCTTATGATAAATGTTTTTTTATTTTAGATGTGACTATAACAAATACACTCTAGAATATGTTACTAATCTAGGCAAAGTTATGGCAGAAAAGCAAGTAAAAGCAGAAAAAATGGACGATGATAGTGATACTGATTTGTCAGAGGATATCGAAAATAATTTGGAAAGTTATGATAATGATATTATTGAAATTGGTGATATCTAATAAAATAATTTAAAAAAAAAAAAAAATCTTGGCAGGTGTTGACTTATTTAATACAACTTTCTAGGTCCCGAATTATGGATGTTTTCTATTTATTTTTATAGCCTACTGAAATATTTTATTGAAGCTAGTAAAGTAAATGGCAAGATATTATATCATTGACTCCTACTGCAATAAATCAACTACCTGGTTTAAGCCCATTGTGTAGGTCCTAATATCTTTAAACTTCAATAAATGGGCGCAGGAACGGACTTTTGTCTTGTATGTAAAAAAAAGTATATGGATTTTTGTTGAATTATCTGTTAAAGGGAGAAATTTGAAAAAAAAAAACAAAAATATAAAAATAGTTATTTTTTATACAAGACTAGAAAATGGTAGTTTATCGTTGACCGGAAAAGTTAATTCACGAGCGGAATCGCCAGTGTGAATTAATTTCGGGAGACGATAATGGCATTGTATCGTCGTGTGCAAAACAAAGTTTTGTTCCATAGCCTAATTATGGACCCCTGTAGTATGAAAAATATTTAGAAATTATTTGAGTCGAACACTTTTGCATAAGTAGAAATTCGTTTGACAAACTTTGACAAATAAATAAATAAAATATGTACAGTCATGAGCACAAAAAGTGGGACACCCGACTGACAGGTCTTGTCATTTTTCGCTATTTTGCGTAAATCAGTCTTCTCTCTACAATCGATTTTTTGTCAAATATGACAATCCCTGTCATTGCCATAGGTATAGCTGGTGAGCCCGTTTTACAATAGGAAAAAAAGGGTGTCCCACTTTTTGTGCTCACGACTGTATATAAACTAGTCAAAACGAAATAAGGACCACTTTTTAAATAGCTATTTATATAACAAGTACATAAAGTAAGGCTTTATTGTACGAATAATTTTATGGCCGAGCGAGCTTGCGAGCGAGGCTATTAAATAATGAGTCAATAAAGCCTGTTTATGTAAGCGTTATATACATGATTTTATGTACGATTACGACTGGTTTTCGTTAAAAATTGAAAAAATCTAATGAAAAAAGTAAAATTCGCGTAGGTATACCGGTTTCACCTTGCCAGGTTGTCAGGACCTGTTTCACCTTGGCAGGTTGTCAGGACCTGTTTAACCTTGTCAGGTAGTCAATAAAGTAGCACTTTATTTTACTAGTAAAATAAAGTAGCACTTTATTTTACTAGTACAATAAAGTGCTACTTTATTGACGCAAAACTCTTCTATAAATAGCACTTTATTGGTCAATCGGACATAAACACCTTTATTTTTATTGAATTTTGAATAACCCTGGTAAAGTGTTTATTTCCATTAACAATATAAATTTTTTTTGCACACTTTATTTGTTTATCTATATTGTAAATGAAAATAGTCACTTTACCAGGGTTATTCAAAATTTAATAAAAACCAAGGTGCTCTCAAAACTGGTCCTTATTTCGTTTTGAGTAGTATATTTTTGACAAAATAAACGTCTTTATCTATCCTTGCTGTTAAAGTATCATTTAATCTACCCTTGCGGTTAAAGTACTACTTTATCTACTATTTTTAGTAGATTAAAGACTACTTTACCAGTAGCTATGGAAAAAATATACTTATTTCATTATTACAAAAATTCTATATTGGATTGATAGCCTTCATAGCAATGTCCTTTACCGAAGTTTAGGGAATTTTAGCTAAATCACATATTTCTACTAAAGCAGCATTTCCATTAAAACCTCTTCCTAGCATCGGAAGATAAATGCTTTCTTTTTAAACTGGTACTACCAGATGCGCCACTATCAGCATGCGCCCATGGACGTCACATTATTACTAGAAAACCCAATGGGAAAAGATGGAACCAAAGACAAATAAAATCTCTATTTCTTACCTCGTAACTGAAACTTAACTTCAACGTGCCTTTTTGGATACTCCCAGAAATATAATACAACTGATATGAAAAATAACTATAACATAAGCGTTTTCTCTAAACGTCGAGAATATAATGATCTCAATTGTCATACTGGCTAGGGTTCAATTTATATGGTAAAAATCCGAATAAATATATTCATCTTGATGAGAATTTTTTCCAAAAAGTTGTAAACAACCCTAATTTGATGCCCAATGCCCATATGCTAATATCACAAGAATAATAGGTATTAGGTCTTTGCTTATACACAACCAAAGGTATTAGTCTTTAATTTTGAAATTCCCAGAATGTCGGACATTCGGCATATTCAAATTCAACTAGCAAATTATCATAAAAATAATAAATAAATAAGGTAGCAAAATGTTCTTGTTGTTGTTAATTTGCCTGGTGATATCCTAAAAGCCGACTCTGCCTGAAAAGGTTGGAAGTTTACTAGCTTTTATTGCGTAAGGGATCATTAAGGTTTTAATAGAGTCAAAAAGTCAACGGTATATCTTGAAAAATACTTTACATATAACTAACCCAATCACTAAATAGCTTGTCACACTTCTCTAAGAGCATCAGTAAGCTCTTTCAAATATTGTGACTGTTACGGTTTTTGAAGTAATATACTAGCTCTATTTGATGATAGGGTCGATTATTGGCTTTATGATTTTTGCCAACTTTTTTATATATTGTAGAAGATTTAATTCTTTACAGCCTTTAAATGGGAATAATGGTATCAAGTCTTGTAGGTGTCACGGTTTATGACATATAAGCATGGAAAGATAAGAGAGGGACCAAAAGAATGGAACCTCTCACACCCTGCATGTGCAGTATGAGTCAACTTCACTGTATTTATTATCCACAACATTTATATATTAATAATCAAGAATAACATACACCTAAAATGCGAAACCACAAAATTCAAATATGATTTGAAATTACAAAATACTTCAAATTTCTAAAGCTGCTAATGATGTTACTACAACATCTGCTTCAGTATATCGGTTTTGAATTTCTTTTAAAGCGTATTCCACCAATTTTGTAGCTTCCTTCTTTTTAGGAGCCGCACACTTTGATGCTGTGGCTAATGCTGATGAAGTCTATAAAAAAAAGATTCTTGTCAATAACTTAAGTAGTGATGTAAAATTCCTGATCTCGCTGTAGGTACATCAGCTGGTGATCGGGTAAATCAGATCTGCGTTTCCGTAAAGACAGTTGGACTGGGCTACATCATCCACATAAATTGAAATGACGTCACTGAGACCTTGTATTCGCAATAATCTCGCATTTTTATAAAATTCTTTTGAGAGTTTTTGATTGAAAGTTTCCGGGAATATTCTCATTCAGGAGAAAGTTTCCATTTTTTATCGGCGAATATTCTCGGAAATTTCCCAATGTTCGCGAATATTCGCATAGGAATATTCTCGACTCACATCACTAAACTTAAGTAAGTATGATTTGAAAAAATAACTTACTAAATACAGTCCATAAATTGCTCTCATATTCTTGGGATTGATTTTCAAGGCTTGTGAATAATACGATTTAGCAGTTTCTAAATTCTCAACTCCTCCCTGGGTGTACTTGATGTCAGCATACCTCTGGTGCAGCAAATGATTATGAGGATTGTGCAAAATCAATTCTTCAACACAGAAAGCAGCTTTATTAAAATCCTGCTCAGATATGTAAAGCTCAGAGAGTTCTTGCCAAGCTTCAAAGTCTGCCATAAATCTATAATTAAAAAAATGTTATAAGTACTTTTGTAATCATTGGGGACATTAATTTTACGCTGTGACTAGAGTCCCGACTCGGGATCCATATCCAGTCCCGAATGACGTCATCAGTAGTTTTGTCGGGACTGGTGTTCCGCCCCGACTCGGGACCCAGTTTCGGTCCCGAATTATAACACCTGTTTCAAGGAGGAAATCTTAACTATATCCTATTCACAATCCGTAGTCCAAAGGTAAAGGTAAATTTAGCACCTTTCCTTATCAAATAGCACTGAAAGGTGATAAATTTTACCTTTACCTTTGGACATCGTATTGTGAATAGATAATATAAACCAAGATCAAGCAGATGTAATTGAGCTTGGAGGTGAATATTTTACTGTGCACACCGGAGAAACTTCAAATTTTGCTAACACGCATAACCCAAAGAGGTAGGTAGAGCAAAAGGTTCTGTTCTTATCACAATCGGTGTAAATAAAAAACGAAGTTATGGCCTTTTTTAACTTGGGAATAAGAACAAAACAAGGAAAAAATGGTATCTTGGATTTCAAGAGAAGAAGAATGCCGGTATTACATCTGTGTGTGTGTACTGTGCGAAATGTTTGGAATGTTATCCGAAAGAACGTTAGATTCTTGTTATACACCTCGATAAAATGTAGAGCCTTTCCAGCATTTCCATTTGAAGTGTAAAGTCTTAAGAAAATTCCAAAATGGCGATGGTACTGTTTAAAATGCTTACGCTAGAACGTTTAAATTCTACTCTATCTTTTGTAAACAAAAATTAGTGATTTTGAAATAAAATATAGGTAGGTACGCATTTTGAGTTTAATAATATGATTTCACCTAATAAAGGAATTATTGCGATTCTTCTTATAATTTCAGGACCATATGTGAGTCCCGATTCGGGACCTATATCCAGTCCCAACAAAACTACTGATGGCTCATTTAATGACGTTATTCGGGACTAGATGAGGATGCCGAGTCGGGACTCTAGTCACAGCGTTAATTTTATTACATACATTTTTAAATATTCAGTCAGCTCCTTGATAGCTGCAACAGTTCTTCCTTGTGCTTTCAACACAGTAATTTTCCTTTTCCTAGCTGCACTGTTGTTTTCATCAATTTTAATAATGCTATCCAAAATTTCAGTAGCTTTTTCAAAATCTTCTTTGGCTTCGTAAAACATGGCTTGAAGGCGTCTTACTCTTAAACTGTTGGGGAATTCTTTAGCCAAGGTTTCGATGCAGTTTTTGGCTACATATAGAATATGACAATCCAATGCGGCTATGCAGACTTGTTCTAGGATGAGATATTCTACAAAAAACAAAATAGTAATTATTGAAAGTTTTCCCAATTATTGTTAAGTGAAGAGCGAACAGTTGAATAAAAGTTCAAATTTGAATTCTTGGATAGATATTTACTTTCATTTCCTAGTGTATCAGCATCAGCTTTAATCCAAAGACTAACGAGCCATAAATCCAATATTTCCCTGCTTTTCCTCTCATTGTTTTCTCTCCAAATTCTCAATTGCTCAATGTCGCCTAGAAAGGAAAAATGATAAATTTCCACAAAAGGTGGTTCATTATATTATCTAACTACTTTTTTCCACACCCATCCTGGATTTAGTGAGGCCGTACGCCGTAAGGCCTTCAAATTAATTTAATAATAAATATAATTTTAGAATTTTTTTTTTTATTTACACATTCATATGAACTGCTGACAAGACAACTGACCAAAAGTTGGGTTATGGTATATGTATCGCCTAGCAAGGATAGAACACACCAAGGATGGGTACACACTACTACAATTTCGCGGCCATATTGTGTAGTACCATTTACGACGTCATCAACCTCGTCGTCAGTTGTTTTTGCTAGCGGTCGTTGTGGTCGTAGTTTAGAATATATATCCTGTTCACAATCCGATGTCCACAGGTGCTGGTAAATTTATCACCTTTCCCTATCAAATAGCCATTGAAAGGTGATAAATTTAACCGGTACCAGTGGACATCGGATTGTGAACGGATATTACATAGTGATGAAAAATATCATTTAATTTTAAAATTTTAATTAACAAATAGGACAAATACAAAGTGAGTTCCTTTTGAAACACTGAGCTCTCGGAGCATCTTTCATATTTACTCCTCTCGATGAGAACAGGGATAAAAAAAACAATACAGCAGCTCCGAGCGTCTACTCGAACTTTAAAGTGACTAGTACAAATACACTTAAAACTAGTGGCGACAGGGCAATCCAATTAAAATGACGGCCAGTGCCAAGGGGCAAGCAATGAAATTGGCGCATAAATTTAATTCAAACAACCGTGACATTTTTTGTGGTGTTTTAAAGTGCAAAAAATGTATCCTTATCCTTATATGCTTTTAGAAAAAGATGCGGATACACTCAGTGCGCACTGATTGACAAATAATGCAAATCGCCATACATAACGTATGCATTTTTCAAAAAATCAACACTTTACTACTTTACAGACTTTACACAAATCAAAAATCGCAATGAAACGTATTGTTTATGGCATTGGCCTCCATTTTGAATTTTTTTTGACAGGTCGTTGGATTGCCCAATTGCCGTCCTTTAATCTCTAAAATCCTATTTTTTTTAGGTATACGGCATCAGTGGACATGATACATAACGAAATGTCATTGGTGACCGAGGTCCTGCCGCGCCATATTCTCCCACATTTTAATTTTTCATTAGGAATATAGACTTTTTTCCAAAGCATACTCGAGAGTATGCTCCCCTAACTCCCCCTCCATCAAATTCTGGGATACTCGAGAATCAAGAACACTTAATTTCTTTCGGGAGAACAGACCGAAAATCACCTTTTCTACATTTAAAATCTCGTCGAAAAAATTAACTCACTAGCACAGCCTGAATAGCAAGCATTCCATCGAGGTCTGCGGGTGACGTCATCACTATAGCTGAACCACGTACAGATCGTTTGACGAGGGTTCATAATACCTTTGACATCGAACACGTCATAACTTGAAAAAAAAGGGTAGTTGTAGATTAATTCATATGACGCATTAAATTTTTTTGACAAAGGATAACGCACACCTAATATGGGATTTTTGGGCTCTATGAATTTTGCTCATTTTTTGATATGTTGTAGAGGATTTAATTCTTAACAACTTTTAAATGGGACCAAATCTTGTAGGTATTATGGTCTTTGAGATATGAGCGTTAAAAGATGAACTTTTTTGCGACTTTTTGTGTGGAGGGTATACGAAATACTGGTGCTACTGGTGTTTATCAGTCAAAATATTGACAGGTCTACATATTTTACATCTTTACATCACAACAAATTAATGTCAACAATTGTCAACATCGGCTAAGGCCGGGACCACACTGAAACCAATGTTGGCGCCGCAGTGCGGTCCCGGCATTAGCCTATGTTGACATTTGTTAAGGCGATTTTCAGCCTGGAATGATTATTATTTGGTTATAACCAATGCATTTCCGCCGTCGCGGTTTTAACCAAAGTAGGGGAAGTTGTGACGTCACATATCAGCTGATTTGCTTTTGGTATTTACCACTTATAACCGATTATAACCCAGCTTTGGACTTGGGTTAATATTTTGGTTACAGCTTTTTGATGTTATTGTTATTATTTTTGGAATATGTATTGGTGTTTTGTGATTTTACAGTTGCGTTGTAGCCTGGCACAATGGAAGAAGTATACATTCACTCACTCACTGCAATTCACCATGTTTAGATCGAGGTTTAGATCATCCCCAAAGAAAATCTGTTCGATAAACGAGAGTAACGAGAGATTCAGCTCCATTTTTTGTACCTAAACAAAAAACTATTGTTGAAATGAAAAACCAAATAAGAATAATAAACATAATCCTACACGGCTATAACCAAATCATTTCAGCGGTCAGTTCCTTGGGTTATGATTCTTGAATGGTGGGGGGCTATGACGTCACACTTGGCTGTCAAAGTTGTCAACCAAAAGAATAACCACGGTATTTACCGATAAATAATCATTCCAGGCTGAAAATCGCCTCTAGTGACGTAAAATATATGAACCTGTCAATATTTTGACTGACAAACACCAGTATACTCTCCACACAAAAAGTCGCAAAAAAGTTCATCTTTCAACACTCATATCTCAAAGACCGTAATACCTACCAGATTTCGTCCCATTTAAAGGTTGTTAAGAATTAAATCCTCTACAACATATCAAAAAATGGGCAAAATCCATAAAGCCCAAAAATCCCATGTTAGGTGTGCGTTATCCTTTATGAATCACTTCTGGCTTAGGAACCGACAAACGTTTTTGACGTCATGGATTTGTTTCAGTCAATTTCTATTTGTTAAAAAAGGAAGGCAAAAAGTATGAACCCCTGGTGAAACAAAGTTTATACTTCTTATTAATGGCAGCCTGTTCAGATACGCGGATAAATCGTTTTTTAAAATGAAAGTACACCTGACCGTGATCACAGTTTGGGCTGCCGCAAACGGTATCCTTCTAATTTTCCAAATGTCGGGAGCATTTTACTTGAATTTTATTGTGGTTTCATGGCAGCCTCGGTAAAATTGTATCGAAACGCTTCATTTGCAAACAATTGTTAACTAATGTTAATATTATAGAAGAACCGGAGATAACTGTTTACCTTATGATTTATTAATAACAGAATAAGTATAGGTACAATATCCTAAATACCCTCCAAAAGGCATACTGGGTAAAGTCACGTCGGAAAATGTAATATGTCTAGAATTTTCCGCAAAATTCATAAATGCGATAATATACAGGGTGATCCATTCGAAAAAACAGTTTCTGATATTTCCCAAATAACGAAAAATTTGACAGCCATAAATAAGGTGAAAGCCCCAATTATCGACATTTTTGCACTTAAAATCCAAAAAATAAGAATTTTATTCTTGCTACATTTATTGTCGTATCATAATAAGAAAAAGTAAGTTTCCCCCAAGGATGATACACACCTACAGGATTAGTTATCGGCCTCGTTTTTGGTAATCGCTGCCATATTGATGTGTCACCATTTCCGACGTCATAACTAAGTCGTCAGCTGTTTAAACAGCCTACGTCAAGGCGAGAAATAACATGTTGCCTACGTCATAACTGATGATTTGGCGTGAGGGGGATTTGTTCCACACAGGCCTTATGAGGATAGGCTATCCTGTAGTAATAGTGTGTATCATCCTTGGGTTTTTCCCACCTTACCTAAAATACGCAACCGGTAATGCAGAAAATATTAATTTAATAGTAGTTTTCCTAATCAGTGCGCAAAGTTATGTTTTCCCGCACGCGAAAGCAGTTAGACGAACGACGCGAAGCGGAGTTCGGATAAGCTTTAAGTGCGGGAAAACTACTTTGCGCACGTATTAGGAACAATATTTTTTCTACGAGTGAATTAACTATACTTCCTTTTTAAATTTTTAATTTCTATAGGCATCAAAAACAATTTGTTGTAACTAAATGGGTATATCTAAATCGGCAAAAAAAAAATTCGGCCTCTCTCCGCGGGGCTTTGCCCCCTAAAAAAGGGGGCACGCAGGGCTGTGCCCCCCAAAAAAGGGGCTTCCGCGGGGCTCCGCCTCCCAAATATTGGGACCTCGCAGCCAAATATAGGGCTCCGCCCCCCAAATATAGGGCTCTCGCAGGGCTTCGCCCCCTAAACAGGGGCCCCCGCGAGGCTGTGCCTCTCAAAAAAGTGGCTTCCGCGGGACTCCGCCCCCCAAATATGGGGCTCTCGCAGGGCTTTGCCCCCCAAATAGGGGATCCCCAGATTTTATTATGAGTACCAGAAAAAAAAGTGTGCGGGAAAAAAAATTTCCCGCATAGTGGGAAAGGGCTTCTTTGCGTACACAAAAGTGTGCGCAAAGTAGTTACTTTGCGCACACTCGTAGAAAAAAATATTTCCATTCAGTACCATTCTGCAGTGACATGTGTAGGCCTAGAAATAGAAAAGTGATTTATATTCTTGATATAGGGCGCTCAATTTTTCAAAATTTGACATTACCTATACTAATGTCATAATGGGAGCTATCCGGCTAAAATATTTTCAAGATTCAGAGCACTTCCGGTTATACCGGAAATAGACGTCAACTGGTCAACTTGCTTATTTTAAATGAGACACCCTGTATGTGATTCCATATTTGGATTCTTAGTCTGGGAGACGACCGCATTTTTCCTACCCCGATCGAGTTATGTGTCGACACTATTATCAATATATAGTATTATGTGCATCTATTAACCTGTATTCCTGCCTGAGAGCAAATGCTGCCGGAAATATCTTTAAACAAATTATTAACAAATTGAAAAAAACGTAACACTACCCCCATCGAGTTATGCCCTGAGTAGGGTATCAGATTGAAGGTCTCGATGTCCCCTATCCAAAAAGTCGATCCTGCCTCGTGAGAACTTGCCGGAAAATGGTGGCAGGACAGCTTATTGCGGCAAGGGCCCGCGGTCTCTGCTTTGACACCTATCAAGCTTTGCACTAAATGATGTGTCAAATTAAAGGTGTCAATAAGTTGATTTAAGGTCTGTTCGCACAGAAATCACAAACCAGTCAGAGCGAATTTCATTGGTTGGAAACAGTCAGGAAACTAGTTTCAACCAATGAAATTCACTCCTTCTCGTTTGGGATTTCTGTGCGAATAAGAAACCTTAAATCAATTTATTAACAACTTTAATTTGACACATCATTCAGGGTAAAACTTGATAGGTGTCAAAGCTGAGACCGCGGGCCCTTGCCCCAATAA